TGTGCAATTATTCGCAATTCGCTCAGCACAGCCTGCAGTGACAAGGTTTTTAGGCATAGCAGTTTTGCTATTACATAGACACGGATGGTTGCATTTACAGATGTGCTATAAGGGCAGCTCCGAGAATTTTTCTAAACACGTTAAAGCGAACTCGATAGAGTCATTACAAAGCAAAAAAACCAGCTGTAAACTCTAGTTCCCTAGTATCTAAGTTCGGTGGGAAGTAACCGCAGGGATGCCAGCTTCTCTTCTAGTTTAATGATTAGATCCAATTTGTGACACTATTTTTTACGGAGTCTATGCGGCGCTCACATGGGAATTATCAGTATCTATTAATGCTATCCAAGAAGGTGCTTTTTTTGCTTTCGGCGCTTATCAATCAAAACTGTATCGTTGTTGTTCTATTCTTTAAGCTTATATCTAGAGCCAAATAAGCGCCACGGTGTATTGCGTTCAGATTCCTTTCAAACAAACCTGTAGGCATTTATCTATCTCAGATGGACGCTAGGCGAGTGATCTGACAATTGTTCGGACTCAGGATCTCTTGAGTGAGTACGACGCGGTACTAGTTGGGAAAGGTCAGTCTGTTTTCACAGGACTGTCCATCGAAAGCCCATTCGAGAGATGTCCCTCGCGTCTGAAAGTCGCAGAAAGTCGTTGAAAACACAGAAAACAAAAGGCCGGTGAATTTGCTTCAAAAGGTCAGAGTTACCTTGTGATATGCCTTGGTAAGCTGTAGCATTTCTTCAACGGTGGCCTGATTCGCCTTGCACGTCTCGTGAATGTCTTTCAGACGTAACGAATCCATCCAGCTTCGTTTGTTCAGGTTCAAAAGCATCTAAACACAAGGAGATTTAAGACAACTCGTCTAAAATGGTAGGAATGGTACTAGTCAAAGAAAAGGTGGGTTCGCAAAGACAATGGCGACTTGAATAAAAACTTGAGAACAATAAGAAACAATGGCAAAAGTTCATGCTGTTAACAGAAGCTTGTAGTTTAAAGATTAAAAGTACGGTAGCGCATTTTGTGTATTCATGTTTCACCAATTATTATGAAAAAGTAGTTACAACTGCTTTTAGAAATCATAAAGTTTTCGTTCACAGTTTCAGCACAACGATGTTAAAACCTAAAGACAAACAGAGCAAAGTAGATCTGAACGTTCACTGAACCGCAAAGAGTTAAATCCACGCTATTTATTGCGGTGATTAACGCCGTTCATAACTTGTATTCATATAAGTTCCGCCGTTGATCGCTCGGAGACGGTCGCCTGTACTGCTTAGTCACAACCACCCCCTCCCACCCATTTACCGTTATCGAACATTATAACAGCTCTGTACTGATTACTAAGGGCCGCGAGTGTTGTTTACGATCTGAGGAAAAATCGGCCATCACGACCTGCGTATTAGCATGGTGACAGTTGTCGAAAATCGACAAGAGAGCAACGAAAGATGCCACTCAGCAACAGACCCGCTACACGTTCCGAACGGAGGAGGTAGATAACGCGATGCATTACAGCAAGTCGATACCATAAGTTTCAACGAGAACGACACCGACAGTGGGAGCGCACAGTCGAAACTTGCATTATCGCCTCACTCAGACGGAAAGAAGAGTTAGTCGATGAGGTTCCAGGGGTACCATCTCGCCATCGATTCACATCAATGAAACGCTAAGACTGTGGAACTGCGGGCAGAAGCTCTTCTGCTCGGGTTTTGACATCAGGACACGCGCAGATCAATGTGGGTGTTCTAGTAGTACCATACCTGTCTGGCAAAATCGTTTAAAGGAAGCCCGTCAGCGGTAGTGGCAATCCTTCGACTTAAGCTACAACAGACTAAAACGTTCGCACTGTTACAGGTCAATGCACCCAGTGTGGATGATAAACATGAGTCTTTCCTTGAGGAAGTAGAGAGTATGACCAGTATGAAGTGTCGACTATGTAATCCATCATTCTAACGAGCCCTTTCAATGGGCATGTCGGAACAGATGAAATATGAAAAGAACGGACATTGCGACTTCAACAACAATGGCATGGAGTTGCAGCGCTTTTGCGCAAGCAACGGACAGTTTATTATGAACACCAATTTCGAGCATCGAAAAGTGCATCTATATACCTGGAAGCTTGTGCACAGAAGTCGAGAATCGATTTGACAATCGTATCGGCTGACATAAAACGCTCAGTAATGGATGTTCGCGTTAAGAGAGGCGTAGAGCTATCAACCGATCATCACCGTGTTGTTGGCACGAAACTCCGATAGAGATGAAATACCATGCGGCAACCTGGTGGCAAAAACAACCAAAGAATCAAATGGGAAATACTATCTTCGGCAAAAAAGCCCAGCGGTTAAACGGCAGAAGTCAACTGCAATCGATAAAGTCAACGCCTTGTAGAATGGCTTTGGGTTGCTGAACGATGTTGTGATACACTTATTCTGCTAGGCTGCTCTAAAGAAACGAACATGGTTCCATTCATCCAGACATCAGAATGTTATGGTAGAACAACTCCATGGTCATCATCAGTGACGTTTCAGATACCGGTACCGATTCCATGCTATTGCATAACATCGGAGAGTGGCGTAAAACTGCTCGGGAAAATGTCACGGCATATTGCACACCATCTTGCCCCTAGTATTCTAGTGGGGCTATCTAAACAAATCAGAGTGTAATAGCTAAATGCCTGCAAGGCAACTAAGGGCTTGGGTGTAGCAGTGGACGGCAAAATCTGTACTGAAGAAAGTATACATATGGAACCGATATTGTGATGCTTATGTGGTAACATTGCAAATAAGAGTTCGATGTCAGTTGGGTCTCAACGGGTGCTTAGACCCAAAAAAGCCAAATTTCGCGGTCTATCTTATTGACCCTTCCCAAAGAAGCATATGGACATTTAAGCAAACCAAGATGTCATCGTATTTTTACACTTGCAACGAATCGATGCGCCTCATATTTTCCGGCCACAGCCGGCAGCCACCATATGTTTTTTTCAAATAGTCAGGTACTGCCGAATTTAAGCCAATCAGAAAGGTCAGTTAAACATCTTCAGCAGTGGCAATCATCGGCAGAGTTAATAACGAAGTGCTTGAAGTAATTTTGGACAGCTTAACGAAAGTGTCTGTGTGCGGTACTGCTTATACATGCCTTATAATATAGGTGTTTTAATAAGTTTTCGTCGAATTTCACGATGCCAGCCCGGGATCATCGGCGTCAAGAGCGCAAACCAACGAAGGTGTAGGATTATACGACAGGGTCCAGTACGGCGGCCTGTAACTAACTGCGTCAAATGTCTGATCTTCTGGGGTAACCGTGAAGGGCTATCATGAACAAGAACCAAAAACGAAACAATGATGGAAGGCACGTTATTCACTGCATTAATGCCAGAGCCAGAGCAAAACAGGACTGAAATCTTAATATCGTACAATCTGCCCACTGATCAGAACAAAATCTGAATGATGCGAGGGGAGTAGGATTAGGTGACGGTGAACAAAAAATGCTAATCACGCCAGTTCGACAGTGACATATGGCGTAAAACTGCTGGCATAGGTTTTCGTTTTCACATCATCCGGATGAAACAATGCAGGCATTTAGCACTGACACTGTCAACTTGTCGTCGCGTTGTGCAGAGATGTTGAAAGGCGCCCATGAACCGATACCTTTTGCTCTAGCTGGTTTTTCCTGTAGTTTATCGCGATACTGTAGTAATGACGATTGAGGCCATGAATCAACGCCTGAATAGACGGCTTTTCCAAATGGCCCAAATTAGACGTGGTCTGTCGAGGTTCCTGACAAAGCACCAACGTCTGCGGATTGATCAGCCGAAATGCGTCGATGACGACCTTGCCTGAAAACATTTCGCGTCAACTTTAAATAGCAACCTTGAGGCAAGCATCACAGCCGGTCACCTTTAACGCTTTGAATAGGATCTACCACGACGGCCACCGCGCGTTCCGAAAGAGCTTCGAAACTCTGTTGCGTATTGATGTCCACACCTGACAGCCAGCAGCCGAAACCCGGATGACTGTGGTACCACCCGACGACCATCTCCGGTCGGCCAGTTTGGCGCAGCATCTCCAACATACGCGCTTGAAATACTGGATCTACCGCTTCGACACTTACGCCCTGAAACAAACGAAAGTACACGGTAAAAAGTTTTC